TTTTGGAAAAAAACAAGTCACACACCCTCTTCTCCTGGTCCAGTGGCTGACAATGAGCCCCACGCACCTAGTCAGCACCAGTTCTGTATGCAAAATGAGGTAAACACTGTATTTGCATATCAAAGTCAAGTTTTTGCATCACTTTAATGTATGTCACAACTTCTATCACCAAAGTGACCGTTTGCACCAAGTTCTAACACCACCGATGAAATTGACTCTAATAATAACTCATATAAGAATTGAAATTATTTTCTGTTTGCATTGCTACCCTATTCATGAACTCATTGTTCATAGAGGTGCCTCTACGCCGATGATGCGGCTTTACTCATTGCAACCATCAAGAAGGATATTGACAATCTCTCCATTTTGCTCGGTGCGTTTGGTGGCGTCACGGGCCTATGCACTAACTTTTAGAAGAGCTCGGTGGTACTAATTCGGTGCAAGGACCTTCACCTCGACACCATCCTCCAGAACTTCGTCGTTGCTCGTGCTTCTTTCCTGTTAAAATATCGGGGGCTACCTCTCTCGGTTTGGCAACTAAAAATTTGGGATTTCCAGTTCCTCGTGGAGAAGGTGGTTGTCAAACTTGTTCTTTGGGATGGGCAAAATATCACCGCCATCGGTCAGACTACCCTTGTGAAGTCGATCTGTGCTATCCTCACAAGCCATCTACTTCATCATCCCACTCATAGTTCCACCGAGCATCCTTCACAATGTCAACAAGCTTGGGAGAGCTTTCCTTCGGGAGGAAACGTATATGACTACCGGCAAAGTGCAAAGTTAATTGGGAATCTGTATGTCGGGCAACCGAAAATGGTGGTCTTGGAGGTGCTAAACATGGAGAAATTTGCAAGGGCGCTTCGCGTGCGTTGGCTTTGGTTTGAACGGAAGGAGCCCACCAAGCTATGGGTTAGGTCCGGTAACCCATGCGACGGGATGGACAAAGATCTTTTCTATGCTTCCACGACCATCACCGTTGGCCACGATGCATGCACACCCTTTTGGGACTCCCCTGGGGTGCGGTACCGTAAACCAAGAGACATCGCACCGCTAATCTAGGACGCCTCCTCTCGGAAGAATTGGAACTTCGGGAAGCTCTCAAGGACGACACTTGGGTTGGAAAAATCAAGGTCACTCCCAATTTCACCTTCGAACACCTCAGGAAATTCATTGAGCTTTTGTCCACCATCCGCAACTTCCCTGTTGAGGTGCATGCCGAAGAAGACATTATGTGAAGACATACCGAGAGCAGAATATACACTTCCAAGTCCGCCTATTTGGCCCATTTCTTCAGCATCATCCACTCCCCCATGGAGCATGCGGTGTGGAGGGCTTGGACTCTGCCCAAGGTCAAAATTTTCGCTTGGTTGACCATGTAAAATGTTTAGATACTGAAAACAAATTACAAGTTTACTATTTTTCATCAGTTTTAAAATATTCGTGAGAATTCACCAATTTTAAAAAATATCAGAAGTTAAAAATAATAATAATAATAATAATAATAATAATAATAATAATAATAATAATAATAATAATAATAACTAGGAAAAATGCATAAAACAGTTAGAGGAAAACAAACAAGGAAAAAGAGATAATAATTGCGTCCAGTTGGCTAGCCATCCGCTACCTCCATGTTTTTGATTCCTCAACATTCAGTCTCATTGAGCGTCAAACAGGGAATATGGTGATGCTAAACATCCTTTTTTTTCTTTTGAGAATTTCCTTTTTAGTAGCTTCTGAGAATTTTCTATACATCGCTTATAGCGATCCGCAGTATAGCATCGCCTGCCGTTCTTCGTCAATGGGCCAGACCCAGCAGGACGGTTTTATTATCAATATTCCCTTCTGGCCTTTCACATTTGTTTTGACCTTTCTTTGTTTTGAGAAATGTTCTAAAATTTTCTTTTTTTGAATAATTTTGTAAAAACTGTTCAATGCATATTTATAAAAAAACATTAATACTAGAATATTTGAGTCATTTGTTTAAAAAGTATCGATCATGCATTTCAAAATTCATTTATCATATTGATAATGAATATCTATATTATTAAGAAGAGTTCATGTATTTATAAAAAAATATTTAATATTTAGTTTTAAGTGCATTTGAAAAATGTTCAACATATATTTACAAAAATTCACGTATTTATAAGATATGTTCATGTAATTTGTAAAAAATGTTTAAAAAATGTTCAATGTATATATGAAAACATGTTCAATTTTTTTGAAAAGAACTTATGTGAAAGTGAGACACAAGTGAACTATTCTTGGCTCTAATGTAAGGATGCAAGCGGGGAGGGCTTCCTCCTTAGTCTCGACTGCCTTTTGTTTCTCCATTGTCATCACTCATATGAACGTCAGTTAGTTTAACAGGGCTCGGTGCAGTGTCCTCCATGTTGTCCCCCTTTTTCTCCTAAGTCCTAAGCACATTATTCCTTTTCGAGTGGAGCCGCCAGTCCAAGTACTTCGCGTCCACACCTCTGGCCTACATCATGTCTTGCATCCTCAAGCATATCCAAACGTTGTACCTCCATGGCTCGACCATGGTTTGGGTTACCATCATGCGGACACCAGGTATTCTGATCAACATGCATCCAATCTAAAAGCAACTCTAGCAGTGTCATCATAATGACCAAATCACCATAATAACCACCAATATGAAGATTATAGCAAAAAGGCACTCTAACAGGGTCACCATATCATGCCATATTAGCTTAACTTATGGAATGCCCTTCATATATGGCCTCTCAGTCTCGATATTTGGAGTATCAGGGGTGCCTTTCGGAGTGCACACTATATGATAGTTGTGACCGGTGGGAATGGAACTTCACGCCCCCCTCTTCACGTGGGATGTCAGGGAAGTTAGGGAAAAAGAATGTCACATTGATAAATGGGTCCCACGATATGGAGGCAATTAAGTGTGAAGACTCTGACTTTGCACTTTGCCTCGACGGACTCCATAATGCATATGAGCGCGCTCCATATGCATATGGAGGCTGCCAATATGTAGACTCTGCTAGAGTTTCTCTAAGAGACTTCTCTGTGTGTTCACTAGTTGCACAATCAGTGCGCATATGCCCAAGCAACCCACACACTCTACAGAAATGATGATTTCTCTCACATTTAAGTTCATAATAATCTCGCTAGCCCCATCGAGTGATGGTACCACCTAAGTCAATGGCACATTAACATCAAGCTTGACTCTAACTCGTATGAATTTTTCGATTCCTGTAGCTTAGTTTCGATGGTCTCAACCTCCCCCCACCCCCCGCACCCCAATGCGTTTTGCGAGATTTATAACAAGAGACTGTGTTATGTATCCATCTAGTAGCTTGTGTATCTGCACCCACACAATGACTTTGTCTAGCTTGATCGACCCAGACAGGGCCAGTCCATCGTAGGGCGTGACGATGACAACGAAGTCACGGAATAACCATGGACTAGCTTCAGAAACATTTAGCCAATCTCCCAAGCGATGACACTGGACCGTGATAGGTTTTCTTCTAGAGCCCTCC